TCCATAGTACAGGCTCCAGGTTATCAGCTATGAAATACAGACACTGAACCCAACATATCCAGTTAAATGTCATATAAAGGTCTGGACTTAACATCCCTGATTTACTGAATTATCTAAAGATTTTCCATTCTGAAACCAAAATGTGGAGAAATGCATCAAAATCTGTATTCAAATACATTTGTTATAAAAATGGTTTCCATCATAGAGGGTTACTGGTTTTAGTTCCTGGGGGAACCAGGACTTTCTGGGTGGAGTCTGCATGTTCTCCTGTGTCTGTGTGGGTTCTCTCTGGTTCTCCAGCTTCCTCCTGCTGTCCAAAAACCTGCATGTGAGGTTAACTGGACCCTCCAAACTGCCTCTAGGAGTGATGTGAGTGTCTGTGGTTGTGTGTCTCTGTGTGTCCCTGTGATGGACTGGAAACCTGTCCAGGGTGGACCCGCCTCTGGCCTGTTGTCAGCTGGGATAGGCTCCTCCCCCCTGTGACCCCGATGAGTAATCAGGATAGAAAATGGATGGATGGTTTCCATCAGAGAGTTTGTCAGTGATGATGTGAACAACATGTTTGTGTTGCAGAGGTCAGAGCCACAGACAGAGAGCAGAGGATCCACAACCCGACTGTGTGTCTGTGAAGAGTGACTGGTCCATGCCTAAACCTCCAGACCTCAGTGATGGACCTGGACCCCCAGAAACAAAGTAAGACAGGATTCAACATGTGGTTTCTATGGTTCCTCTTTAAAAGTCTCCCAGTGAGGTTCTGTTTTCCCTCCATGAGGGTTTGTCCTGTGTCTTCCTTCCTGTAGCGTTCTCCTTGTTCCATATGAGGATCAGGGGGTCTTCACTATGAAATGTCCCCTAAGTAAGACCTTAGAGTCCAGGAGTTATTCTCAGAATGTGGGAAAAAGCTTCTTATCCTTTTTACATTTTTTATTCAGTTTTTTCCTATCATGTCCTGTTCAGCATTCTGGCAGCAGAACTGAAACTGAGTACCCTGCTAGGGGAGGCTTTCCTGGTGTACCCCCCCCCCCCCCCGCTGCTTTATTTATTTATTTATTTTTGTTACAAAACTTCCATGTGTCCAAATCAAACCCCAAAAGGAGAAATATCCTTTATGCAGAGAGAGAAAGAGAAAAAGAAAGACAACAAAACCAGACAGCCAGCTGCTGTGTCTGTAAAAAGAAACTGTTTCTTGTGGGCAATCTGGATGGAGAACCTGTAGGAGCTCCTGCAGATGGACACAGCAAGACCAAAGAACCCCCACCAAAAGCCAGCAGCAGCTCCAACACTGGTAGCAGGACATTAGTGACCCTCTCAGAGCTGAGCAGCAGCTGGAGGAGGTGTGTGTCTGGGACCTGACGTGTGTGTGTGAGGAAAAACCTCAGCCCAGGTCTCCCTGACTGGGCTTAGTTATGGCCACAGCCCCCCCTCCAGCCCCCCCAGACCCAGTCCACCAGCAGCCACCCAGAGACCAGATCCCTGGAAGACCACCACAGAGACAATTGGGCACCATCCCAGAAAGCCACCAGGAATGCCCCCAGAAGAGCCCCCACCACCGTAGGGACCCCAGGAACCATGAGGGACAGCACACCAGCCCCCACCAGACCCCGTCCCCCAGACACAGACCCAGAACCAGAACCAGAACCCAGCCCCCACCAGACCCCGTCCCCCAGACACAGACCCAGAACCAGAACCCAGACCCGTCCCTCAGACACAGACTCAGAACCAGAACCCAGACCCCACCAGATCCCATCCCCCAGACACAGACCCAGAACCAGAACCCAGCCCCCACCACCCCCCTCCAGACCCTATCCCCCAGACACAGGCCCAGAACCAGAACCCAGACCCCACCAGATCCCGTCCTCCAGACACAGACCCAGAACCAGAACCCAGCCCCCACCAGATCCCATCCGCCCGACACAGGCCCAGAACCAGAACCCTCTGGCCCGTTGTCAGCTGGGATAGGCTCCTCCCCCCTGTGACCCCGATGAATAATCAGGATAGAAAATGGATGGACGGTTTCATTGATAAACCTCCAGACCTCAGAGATGGACCTGGACCCCCAGACACAAAGTAAGACCTCTGAAACAGAGAGTTCAGGAGTTATTCTCAGAATGTGGGAGAAAGTTTCTGATTCTGAAAAGTTTCATCCTGAATGTTGTGAGTGATCTTTGCAGCATATTCAGAATTAGGGATGCAAACGGTTAATCGACTTTAGATTAATTGTCGATCAAGAGGTTGCTCGATCAAAATGTATTAATCACGATTAACCGCTAGTGCTTTACTGTAACTTGAACACAGCGTGAGAACGAGAGCACGCCTCGTGTCGCGAGAGAGACCAGGGTTGAAAACAAAATGAAGCGGGCGAAAAGAAGTGTGGTGTGTGACCACTTCAATATTGTTAATTCAGGCAAAGAAGGTTGTCATAGCGACTGTCCGCGACCACAAAAACAAGAACGTTGGGGCGTTAGCCAGCTAGCTCGCAAGCATAGCTACCTATCCGTTAGCATTAGCATCAGCCGGAGAGATGATAGCGCTCATCAACAAACTGCTGGACTGGTTCAAGCCTTGAACCAGTCCAGCAGTTTGTTGATGAGCGCTATCATGCAAGAACTGAGCCAGGTTTTTTTTTAATTGTGAGAATGCCTACAGGCATTCTCACCTTAGTTTTCCTGTTTCTCTTTATTGTGAGAATGCCTACAGGCATTCTCACCTTACCTTTCCTGTTACTCTTTATTGTGAGAATGCCTACAGGCATTCTCACCTTAGTTTTCCTGTTTCTCTTTATTGTGAGAATGCCTACAGGCATTCTCACTATACCTTTCCTGTTTCTCTTCCGTACGTTTTTTTGCATCTAACTCCGCCTACACCTTTCAGCCGATTTCAATGAATAAGGTATCAAAATGTTCAGCTCCTTCAGCACATAGCTGCTATTACTTTTGGTGTTCATATCTTTTCAACTTTTTAAGTTATTTAACTTTTTCTGTTTTGTCTTTTCTCATTGAAATGAATGGAGAAATCTTCAACTCCGTCTAAAACTTTG